CCCAGGACATCTTGGACACTCTGGAGGACAACAGGGACTGGTACCAGAGCACTATCCCACAAAGCCCCTCGCCACCTCCTGTGATTCAGGATAAGGATCTGAACGCCTGCATAGACAAGTTTCAGTTTGAGCTCACCCTCGAAGACAGCTCTCAGAGAGAACAGGGAGACGAGGTTGACAAGCTTACGCGGAACCACATGGCACAAGACTGCAGTCAGGGGGAGGAGGAGGGTAAAAAAGATGAAGAGCAAGACATAATGGCAGAGGAGGAAAATGAGGACATAATAGAAGAGGAAGACGAGGTGGCAATGGAGGAAGAAGAGGTGGAGGAGGAGGAGGAGCTGAAAGCTCAGTTGGAGGTACGATCCGAAAAGGAGAGACTTTCTGACACAAGTCCTGTAGAGGAAGAGGAAGATTCTTCTTCACAAGCTGAAGATACATGAGTTCTGCTCCTGTATCTCCCTCCTTACTTGCACACATTATCTTGTTCATCCTTTCAATGGCCAAACCAAGAACAAATAAGACTGCAATGACAATACAGACCTTTAAATATATTTTTCAAAAAGGGAATAAATTAAAATCGCTTAAAGAGAAGGTAAATACACAGCAACTGTAGATGTGGAGTGGTGACAAGTCCTTCGACAGATTTCACAATGAACTTTAGACCTTTAGAGGAATTTAGGAGCAGTAACGATGGGCAACTGAAGACAGCGTAGCACTCTGGGACTGGAATGCACACACATAAACACACATTAAGTGACACACACAAACACATAGTAGGAGTAAGTCATGTAGAATACACCAATGCAATGTGTGTACGAGCATGCATCAGTCATGCAGTATAACTGGAGCCCAAATGTACCCCGCACGCACACACACACACACACACACACACACACACACACAGACACTTGACTGTATGTTTTTATGTGTGCATTTACATGAGGGACATGGATTAGTAATGAATCTTTTTGGAAAAAGCCATCTCTTAATGGAGTATTAACTAGTGTTCAGTCAGTATTAGTAATTCATGTTTGTTAGAACCTCAACAGAAACTGTTCTCCTCAGAAAAGCAACACATCCGAGTGACTTTTTTTTCCATTTCTGTCGGAAAGAAAAATAAGAAAATCCAGAGTTGGAGGAGAAGAGAGCAAGATACCGAAGGAAAGGAAGATGCTGCGATGAAGGGGCCGCCGGGTCCCATACCCCTTTTCCCTTTACAAGGAGAGTGCTACTGGTGCAAGATGGCTCTGTGCCTTTCTGAAACACCAGCTTCCTGAATGGAGCTGTCGTGAAGCAATGCATTGTGGGACAGGAGTGTCTGATTTTGTTATCATTTTTGATTGTCTCTTGTTAAAGATCTCTCTTTACTGTTCATGGTATTGTGGTGTGTATCTCACACGTACAGTTTCTGTGGTGATATGTTTTAAGCTGTAAGTCTTCCTTTGTTGCTCTTCTGGTAATATAATAACTCAGAACCCTAGATGCAGAGCAATCACTACCACCACCACAACCACCAGTGGACTCCAGCTTATGGTTTTTTCTTATTAGAATGATTTTTTTAAACTTTCTGAGAATAAGCCATGTGATGCTTTGAAGCATAAGTTTTGCCTATTTTCTATTTAACAGTTGCTAAATATGTTGAAGGGATACATAATTATTTCATCAGCAGAACAAATTTTCACTCGCCATCTCAAACCCACTTGCACTGTGTGTTTATGTCTCCTCATACACAACGATTCTCACCAAAGTAAAGGATGAGAAACTTCAGTGGGTGAAGTTATTGAAGGAACACAGATGAATAAGAAAATCAGGGAGGAAGAATGTCAGGGGAAAGAAGCGTGACTTGGCCAAAAGGTGGTCTGGCAGTCCCTAATCATCCTTGTTATGTTTGATGCTTTTTTGCCTTAATGTCAGATGCAGGATACATACCTGCCAGTATGTAGATTTATAAGATATATAATAGATATCCTAGCATATTTATATCACGTCTGTATGCTTATTTCTGTGAGTATCAGTGTGTCTATACACAATGTATCCAGCATTGCATTTAGAGGGGAAAGGGAAACATTGCTGCCAATTAGTCGTTATGTTGTTGCTGTGCTCGGACCAACATAAAGAATGTGTTGTTTTTTTAATCATGACGGTAAAATGACTCATAACTACCTGGAGGTATGCAGAGGAAATAAGAAATGGGAGTTAAGATTTTGCTGCCAATTAGAATGAATAGGGATGTCCTTTGTTTGGATCTGACCAGATATTGATTTGTTGACACGATGGAGTTGATACGTGTATGTGTTTGTTTGCGTGGCTTATTGTGTTGTCATGAGTTAGCGAGTGAGTAACAGAAAGAAAGGGCAGAATGCTAAAGATATTGTCATAAGTGTCATCGTTCCTCACTGGCATCACCACATCCTGTTGAATGGTGTTCAGGATTCGATCAGCACAGCTTAAATAGGTCACAGTTTGTTTAGGTGTTTTTCACAGGGTAAAAAAAAAAAAAAGAACATGGGTGTGGTTCTTTTGAAGGTAAGAGCAAGTTTCTGCAGGTCAGTAACTGAACTTATCTGAAGACACCACAGCTCGGTGCAACCAGAAGCCTGTGTGTTTGACCTGCTCTGTCGCACGATGGAGCAGAGCTGCGGGGCCACCACACAGGCTTTCATTTTGTGGAATGGGAATCCAGGATTACTATTGCAGTTACTTAAATAAAAGATTCCCATATGCATTGGCCTTTTACTTTAAAGATGTTGCTTTGTTTTTGTGGCTTCTTGTTATGTCATAAGCTATAAAAACATTAATATTTAATTGCCATACAAACACAATACTGTAGCAATTGTTTCTTATTAAGAAAATTATTCAATTGATTGATTGCTGCCATTCTTTTTAAATGATGAAAAGAAAACCATGGGAAGTGTTTTCTTTGAACAGTTTGTGTACAGTTTATTTTTATATCATTCTGGTGGATGGTCTGGAAAATGAATCATGTGTTGATGATAAAGCTATAAGCATTACCACTCTTGTATATAATGTAATATTGGATTGTAAATTATAAATTTATTCAAGTCATAATGATTGACAAATAACCAATTAAGGTTGTTATGTGAACCACTGAAGCACTGCAGGCCACATCCCCACCTTTTTATTCTCTGATTATGTTTTTGCTCAGTTGTGCTAACATTCTGTCACATTTTTTAACCGTCCACATTTATTGTTAAAATCAAATATATTTGTACCAGCACTTTATTCCATCAGGTTTTGAGGCAAACAGTGTGTTTCAGGTGTACAGTGTGTGCTGGTGGTTTGGTCATTGGCAGTCACCTGGTAATTATATTCCATTAGGCCAAATCACAAACTTTCATTGTGCAGTAATCATTGTTAACCCCTTTTCTAGAGGCATAATCAAACAAACTAGTCATTCTCTATTAATAGTCTATGTGAGATTGAAGTTATTTGACTGATAAAGTCAAATGTAAGCTGATGTAGTCACACAGGATGTGACATGTTCTAAGGATATAAATGTGTCCTTGTCTAACTTGGCCATTTCTAGTACTATCACCACCTCTGTTTCTTAGTAACTTTAATCACTAGCCTGATAGCCTAAATGTCCGTCCAATGGTGGCCTAACTAGCTGGTTCCCATCGGGTTGCTGTCAGGTTACTTTGTCGCAGACTGACTCCCTCTGTGAATAATTCTCTGGGCTTTAATTCATGTGTTTGTCACAAGTAAGAAAGATTATTCAAGGGAAAAAACATGAAATGATTGTAATATTTGTAAATGATCTTGCTGTAATGTGTAAAATGTGTCCAAGTTATTTTTTATTATATTATTTTTATGAAAGTTTTTCCTCTTAACAGAGCTGAGGTGTCATTTTGTGAATAAATGCATTTAATAAGCAAACATCTATATATAAAACAATATTATAGTATATCAGTATATTTTTCTTTTATTTCACTGTTCGGTACTGTAAAGTGTGTTAAAAATACAAATAAAGTAAGATTTTTATATTAAATACAATGCCGTTGTCATGTTTGCTGTTATTGTGTTTGGTATGTCAGCATTTTACTTGTTTGTGTGTATTTATTGTATTTATGCTCATTTATTAGTCCAGGGGCTGGTAATATAATCTCATTTCTAACTATAGCAAGACTGTATTATTAACTGGATATTGCAGGCAATGTCTCTTGGTCCATAGGAGCTCCAGACATCCACACTGGTTTCTAGCATCTGTTGTGTAGAGGAGACCTATTTGAGCTATTTGTTTAAGTATAGGTTTGAACCCACATACGCACATCCTATTTTTAACACTTCCCAGTCATGTGTACATGAGACAAAAACTTTATGTAAAATCTGGAACAAAAAGCACCAAAAAATAACACCTATATACACACATATGATTTCATAGACTATGTTCACAGACCGTGTATGGTTGAAGATTGTTGAGATACATCTGAATGAATACAGCGGTAAATAGCATTTTTCCACTTGGACGTTACTTGTTTGCTTTTACACTAATATTAAATAAGATAAGATAAGAATTCCTTTTATATCCTTAAGGAGCAAATTCAGGTTGACACACCAATAGGCAACGTAAGTGCACAAACAGAGAACAAAGAATATCACATAAAATATTTCAATTATTAATTAGAAAATACAACTATACATTAAAAGTAAATACACATTGTTGTTCAAAGTGACATGGAGTGCAAAAATATACAATAAAACTAAAAAACTAAAACTATATAACTACTAAAGTGGAAATTAAATATTAAATATAAATAGCAAGTAAGTAGTGTAGTATAAGCCTGATAATGTAAACAGTGACGACTGCCTGCACCTGTCTGAGTCGGGCATGAGATGGCTGCATCCTCAAGTATACCCAGAACCCTCTGCTTCAACGTGCCACGGCTCTCCGCCAATCACAAGGGCTATTCAAAGCGTCGTCCAATCAGAGTGAAACAAGACAGAGAGGGCGGGATCGCGCATGCGCATTGCGGTGACGGAACTAGGCGCTGTGTTGACCGGTAATGATTAGCAATTAGCTTGTTTTTAGAAAAGATTGCAAAGATTGTACATTTTTTTTACCTACGTTATTAACCTTGCACACTAGAGGTATTATGATGTTATTGTAACGACATAAGTACAGTTGGCGTTTTGCATTTACGCGTTAGTTTATGGTTTTGCTTTTAATCTTAAGCTAAAGTCGCTAGTTGGCATTTGCAAGCTAATTGGTTAGCCCTCGGCTAACGAACAAGAAGTCATTATATTTTGTAAAAATACGCAAGAACAAGCGTACACACGTAATGTGGTTGTGTTGCTCTTATTAGTTAATAACGTCCCCTACCCTGTCACGCCAGGTTTATGTTTGTTACAGTGTGTTTCCTGTATTAATCTGCGGTTCAGGTGCAGCTGAACCTTTGAACCAACTGTGACCGTGTGGAGCTGCACTATCATGAAGTCCTGTCACTACCTGCTGCTGCTGCTCAGTGTGGGAGTCTCGGCCGTGGAAATCCAACGCCCTCGCGGTGTCCCTCTATCGAGTAAGCATTTTTCATTTAATTACGACTAATAAGACAGATTCCCGAGTACAGTTGTGTATTTTGCGGTTGCAGTTCTCTATAACTTTTCTTCTGTTCAACCTCGAAAGAACGGCAGTTCTATGAGGAGGGAAAACCTTTTACTTGCCTGGATGGTAGCCGCACTATTCCCTTTGACAGAGTGAATGATGACTACTGTGACTGCCACGACGGTTCTGATGAACCAGGTGTGTATACCTCCTCCTGTTATTACTGACTGCCTTTTTGCAGTACCATAACTGCTGTATATTTTATATTATTGTATATTGTATAATTTATAGTCTATCTTTTTAGCATTAGTCTTACTGTGTAAATTGCATTGTATGTTTACTTTTGAGTATAGGAAATGTCTTGTTTATCAGTGTGCCTGTGCTTTTATCGTTCACCGTTGGGAGAGTGAGAAACCGATTCCTTTGTATGTCTGGTGCATGTGAAGTAATTGACATTAAAGCTGACTTTGACTTTATATGCTGCATGCTGGAGACTCCTGTACTGCCGTCCAGTACTATTTTCTTCCCCGCAGTGCAAAGCATTAAATAAAATAGCTAGTGGTAAATGTAATAGGTCTGCTTAGTCTGTATAATTCTACCTTTGCTAGGTCATGATAATGTGGAGTGGCTGTTTTGTATATTTAATAATACATTTATTTGCAGGTACGGCTGCTTGTCCCAATGGTAGCTTCCACTGTACCAATGCAGGTTTCCGACCAGCCTTCATCCCTTCCTCCCGCATCAATGACGGAATCTGTGGTACGAATTTTAAACTGTGCTTATTATTTCTTCTCAGGTGTGGTGTGTGTTTGCAGGATTTTTGTTTAATATTATCTGGGTTTCCTGTACAGACTGCTGTGACACCACAGATGAGTACAACAGTGGTGCAACCTGTCAGAACACCTGCAGGTGGGAATGTTTTTGGATTATAACTTGTGTACGATATGTAGTCTAAGCCCAGTTTCTCCATAGGGACTACACAATACTTACGTACACATTGAGTTTCCAGAAAATGTAAAATGTATTGTTTTTGTTGAATGCATTTTTTTCATTTCATGTGATTTGCAGGGAGTTGGGGCGCAAAGAGAAGGAGAGCCTGCAGAAGATGGCAGAGATCGCTAAGGAGGGCTTTCTGCTTAAACAACAAATTATCCAGGAGGCCAAGAGGGGCCTAGAGGATAAGAAGGTGTGAATGACAAGAAAACCTTTGGTATTTGTTTGAGTAATAATCAAGATCCAGAGCTTTGAAACATGAATTATCACTGGGTCAGATATGTTTTTATACAGATATACTTCAGTAGAGATGTTGAAGGTGCCCACACCAACTATTGTATGTCTGGCTATGTCACCTATGTTTTGAATTATTCTACGCAGAAAAAATGAAAGCAGTAGTTAGTGACCTTATGTTGAGCACATCCTGCTAATTCACCAGAAACTAGATGCTGGCCATCTGAAATCTCTTCTAAAAAACAAACACTTCCAAGTTGACAGTGAGGTTATTGGTGGCAAAACAGTTAGAATGTAGATGTCAGCGCATTGTTTCATAAATTGAATGAAATTTTCAGATATTGTGTATATCTTATTTGTTTAAATGTATTATTTTGATTTGTCTCAACAGGCCAAACTTGCAGATGTTCAGACCAGTAAGAAGGATCTGGAAGATAGGGTGGAAGCTCTAAGAACTGTAAAGGAGACTGCAGAGCAGCCAGAGAAAGAAGCGAAAGAGCGCCATCTGAAGGCCTGGGAAGGTAAATTATGATGTGAAACTATATCACCATCTACGGATTGTACAGACCATCACCTTAGAGATAGTATAGTCTAGTTTATTAACATTTTTTTAAGCTAGAGTAAGTTGCCTTAGTGCCACATACACTAGCAGTACTAGTACTAGCTGCCCTGATGCAAGACATGTAGTAACACAAGTTACAAGTGTGTGTGATCAGAATCACTGCCAACTCAACACAAAGAGACGTTAATTTTGTTTCAGAGGAAAAAGCTGTCATTCGCATGGAGAAGGACAAGGCTAGAATGGCTGAGGTGTTTCTTGAACTGGATGATGATGCAGATGGCTTGTGAGTATCGGCACCTTCCAGAATTGTTAGCACCCATTATGGAAGATTCACAGTGTTTTGAAGCTTACCAGGGACAGCGTTTAAGAACAAAGTTAAATAAAATAGTGCAAAGATAAAATGCACCGTCTGTAAATGTGGAGCCATTTTTATTTTAAGTTGTCTTGTTGCTCTGTACCTTATTTATCTAAAATACTGCCACACAGCAGAGACCACTTTCCTGAATTAAAAGTGTCAGACAAAAGATAGTCTCTCTGAAAAAATATTTTATTTTTATGCCTTTCATGTGTACATTTTGAATGATCATTAGAGTCACAATAATTCAGTGTTTTTGAAGCCTCATTGACTCACTGGTAGAACTATAGAGTTGTTACTATAACTAGTGAATTTGCATTTTTTTTAAAACGTATTTATTTTTCATCTAAGTATCTCAGTGGCTGAGCTTCTGTCCCATTCTGAGCTCGACCCAGATTCAGATGGTTCCTTCACAGAAGCAGATGCCCAGGTACTGAATTATTTCTATAAAAACACTGCTGTTAAAGTGTAGCTGTCATTAAATGCAAATATATATATATATAAAAATCTTAAGGAGCTGAATAAATCAAAATATCAATATTGTCTTTTGGTTTATAAAGGGACTGTTAGGAGGAGTGGACAAAGTGGACACAGTAGCATTCGAGTCTGTTTGGAATAACATCAAAGAAAAATACATATCAGAGGTAAGAACCAGATAGTTAATTTTTGAATTCTAAGTGTGAAAGCCTCTGCGCCTCTAAATGTGTGACTTTCTTGGTATCAGGCCAACGCAGACACCCCAGCACCAGTGGAGACTCCACAGGAGGAGATGAGGGAGCCAGTCTCCGACAATGACTCTGAGCAGTACCCTGAAGATGACATCCCAGAGGAAGAAGAGGAGGAGGATGAAGAGGATGAAGATGATGACCCAGATGAGGCAGACTATAAGGTAAGTCCACTGAGCCTCTCAATCAAACTTATGTTGAATGACTCTCAAGTTTATTTTAGTGAGTCACTCTTATCTGTGTTTGATAAGCAGAGCCCTCCTACGACACAGACTCAAGAAAAGAAGGATGACGATGATGAGGGGACTATGCCACCCTACGACCAACAAACGCAGACCCTCATTGATTGTAAGTGTGTGTGTATAAAACTGAGTGACTCAGTCAGTTCTCTGCTATGAGTAAGTGAGTCACACTATAAAATACCAGAAGAAAAGCACAGATGTGACTGTGTAGCTATTAGTTTGAATTTGAATGTGCTAACTTGAAATTAATCTCTCATTCCTGTAGTGCAAATAAATTGTTTATCAGAAGAAGAAAGCAATTTATTGAACAGCTGTGTTGCTTTTGTATGACTGAGATCTATTGCTTGTCTTTTATGAAAGCATCAACAGGATGGCGTGATTTGCTCAGACGTTTTTCTTGCCAGCACACTGAATTTACTTAGTGTATATTTGATTCCCAGCTGCTCAAAAAGCCAGGAATGAGTTTGATGAGGCTGAGAGAGCTCTCCGGGAAGTGGATGATCAGATCAGGTAAGTACTAAGCCTGAGTATAAAGGAGCTTCTTTGCCTATAATGCAATCAATGTTTATTACCAGGCAGTCCAACTTTCAACAGGTACTATGGATGATTTTGTTGCACTATTGGATTACATTTGAATTTCTTTTTGTCTGCAGGAACCTTGAGAAGGAAATCTCCTTTGACTTTGGACCCAATGCTGAGTTTGCCTACCTCTATAGCCAGTGTTATGAGTTGTCTACTAGCGAGTATGTGCACACTCTGACTTTGGAAAGAATTGTCGTATTTATTAATATTTGTTACAAGTTCCTACTTCCAAGGGAATAATTTCATCTTTTGTTCTCAGGTACATCTACAGGCTCTGTCCATTCAACAGAGTATCCCAGAAACCCAAGTATGGTGGATCAGAAACTAACCTGGGGTATGAGAATGTCTATGTTGTTTGGTAATATTTTGTGTTTTGCGCTGTTTTTTGTTCTTATTGTACTCATCCTGTACGTTTCATTATTTTCCTTCTGTAGAACATGGGGGAAATGGGCAGGTCCTGAGGATAATGTCTACGCTGTGATGAAGTATGAACATGGAACAGGGTGCTGGCAAGGTCCAAACAGATCCACCACGGTGAGTCTCTGCACTGACTGGATTGTTTTTGTTCACTTAATTTTTTCACCTATTCTTTAATTGTTCTTATTGGACAAAGCAGAGAAAGACCAAATAGACCTCCTTTGTCTCTCAGGTTAAGTTAACGTGCGGAAAGGAGACAGTTGTGACATCTACCTCAGAGCCCAGTCGATGTGAGTATCTGATGGAGTTCATCAGTCCTGCTGTCTGCCAGGAGCCCCCAAGTCTGGATTTCGGGGCTCATGAGCATGAAGAGCTCTAGAGCTACTTGATTTGTGAGTAAGTCTAACTTTGTTGGCAAACCTTCAAAATTAATTGGGAGAGTGGTCCACATACAGTATGGTTTACTGCAGGACCATATCTTTTCCCCCCAGGATCTTAAATTGGTCCTACAATGGGGCCACGATTGTATAAGAGTCATGGTTTTGTGCAAAAAATGCTTACGCAAGAAAAATAAAAATCACTGACTGTCAGAGCTCCATAATGTGACAGTTTAGTGTTTCAACATTTTGTTGCAAAGAAAACCGCATGTGCAGTTACAGCCTCCCTTTAGAAGAAGAGCAGGACAACAGCAAGAGAAAGGTAATGGAAATTTGAGTTCATTGTAGGTGTTAAGATAGTAGAGGAGTAAGAATTAATAAATTATAATAATTTAATGTTTCAGTATATGGATGAGACAAATGCATACAGCAGTACGTTGTGCCACATTTTCTTTGGATACATTATTGTTGAACTGGGTACAGTACTGTGATTGCATCTGCATCCATCCTTTACTGCAGAAATCTTGAAATGTTTGACGGTTCAGCCTTTTACAATTTCTATTTCTATTCAACATTTTAAATTTGCTGAGGCTGTCTACACAATTCCGTTGAATGGAAAACATTTCGTAATGGTTTACGTACATATAGTATTTAGTTGTATTCTTTCTTTTTTAGAGAAAAAAAGGGTTCATCCTTGATATTGTAGATACAATTGTGAACAAAGCTGAGCTTTTTAAAAATGATAGTGTGGATGAGGGTAGGTTTAAGCAAGTGTGGAGGTGAGATGGTTTTGGGACAACAGAATTTTACTTTTTGAATGTGTTGTGGATGTAAATCAACATAGCATCTAACCCAAATGTAAGCGCAGTGGATATATCACTGGTGTCAACGCTTAGTCCTTGGAAATGAAACCTACAGGGATTAATTGCAACTAAATTGTCCTTCCCTTTAACAACTATGAAGTCATGACTTAAGCAAACAAGCTATTGAAATAAACGTGTATGCGCTCTCACTCTTGCAGGTTGTTCTTGAGGGACCACAGTCACCGCAGCAACATGGAAGTTGCCATGCCGTGAGCGCCACCATAATCAAGAATAAACAATGGAAATTCCAATTAGTTGTTATGTTGTCTGCACATCCAATTTTTCGCTAGTCCTTGTTGTCTTGTGTCCGTGATTTGTGTCACATGTAGTCATTCCATGGTTTTCAAATAAACATACTTTTATTATATTCCAAGCTTGTGTCTGTTTTTTTTAAACTTCAGTGTAGCCATTTTGTTGTAGCTGTGCTTTCAGTCAATACTGTAGTAGTAGTAGTAGTAGTAGTAGTAGTAGTAGTAGTAGTAGTAGAATATATTCTTCTGTAATTTCTTACTCTAAAACCATTTAGCATAGTACTTAGTCTGCATTAATTTTATGCATATAAAATAGAATGTAAGGAAGCATGTTGGTATCCAAAGAACTTCTAATCTTCGTATGTGCCAACAAACCAGCCGTAGTGAACGTAAATACATGATAGTAAAAATAACATCCTTTTTTACTCATAACATTCAATAATAGTGTTTTGACAGTCAATAAAAAATGGGTCACTCAATATTTGTAACTTTTATTTTATTTTTTTCTGGCATGTAAAGTACAAATAATTAAACAATTCCATGAAAAAGTCTTCAAGCGTCTTCAGCTGAAATCCCAGTAATAAATATCCTAGACTAAACTGAAAGGTTTATTTTTTTTTCCTTTAAATTTTGACATTGTTCATTTGGTCATGTTTGGAAGTATGAGATTTTGTATTTCTCCCACTGACATTGGTGTCAGCAGAACTGTTTTGATCATTTTCACCTTTGATTTGTTCTACCATTCCAGGAAAATGTAAGAAAAACATCACTAAGTCACTGCGTCCCCTCTTCTAAATAAATAGACACAAAATACAGTTGGTTGAGAAACAGAAGGACCACTCACCCCTTTACTACCCTAGAGACTCCCAAGAAAACCTTCCTGCAGCTTTTCTGAGCTCTGCCATATTTCACCAGAGCTCTTGGCTGGGTTTCAAAATGCATCTTGGTGCTAAAAAACCGTCTTTGCTTCAATAGCACAAATTGAATATTGAAATTGATACAGATGATCTCGGTATTACAATGCTTTTACAGAACCTGTTAATATCTTTTTTTTTTTTAATAAATCAACCCATCAGCATAAACAGGAAAGCGCCTTGAGAGCGTATCAAACCTAGGACATCCCCTCTGTTCCTGGCTAATTGCTGGACCCTCAAATGGCCGAAGCCTCGTTACAGGGGCTTTGCCATGTCTCAGGGGTTCACAGAGTGGTTGAAAAAACAAGACTGTGATTAGATTAAATAATTAAAAGATTTTCATTTAACAAGACAAACAGAACACAGGCAGTAAAGGCATAACATCTAGCACACAGCATGTATGTTTATACACTTCAATTAGTTAAATATAGCAGTGCATTCTTTGACTATGGAGAACGTTTCCAAATCGTACTTCTAAAGCTGTTTTCTATTTGTCCCCCTTTTAAGAAACGAAATGGTGTAACCACAATTTTGGCAAACTTAAAATCTTTTAAACTTGCAAATATAATGAAATAAACCATAAATATACACAAAACATACTTTATACGAGGCAATAATAATAATCATAATAAATAGTTTTTAAGTTAACAATAAGTTAAAACTACAAGCTTAAAGTCGCCCAAATAATACAAGTTTATTGGCGCTATTTTGAATTTTTTCTGTTTAAATTATTTTATGTTGCAACAAAAGCTACCACAGACTTTTACAAACACAATTGAACACAGTTTGATTGAAATAAAAAAATCTAACTAAGTCTAAAATCTGCATACACTGTAAAAACTGCAACTAATTAAATAATGGAAGAAAAATAAACTTTACCCAATCAATGCAACCAAACATAATCTTTGACCCATGTGTGTTCTCTATGGCAACATCAACAACACAAATACGCTCATTTAACAAGTGAATCTTGATATGTAAATGAAATCAATAAATTACAGGAAAAAAATGATATTTGAAATTGACATGGGCTAAAACTGATGATATATTAGACAGTATTCCTTTCAAGGTCATTGAAAATTGCTCTATTAAGTCAGCCAGATATGCAGTTTGTTTGAGCTTGCATGGTCAGAGCACAAATTAGGGACTGAGGAGGTGATTATGGAAATTTATAGATCAGAGCTCTCATTACTTGTTCGATTTTCTTAATGAGTCTGTTCATTTTAATGTTTTTGTCTGAACTTTTGCTCCTTTCACTATTCTGCAAACCTTTTCAGTGTGATGTTTAATTTCTTTTTTAAAAAATATATATCATTTGTTCTCAGTCAATATAAAAACAAAGCACATTGCACTTACTGTTCCATAGGAAAGTTTTTTTGTCTTTTTAAACGATTATTGTTGTTGCTCAAGCAGTGTAGTACTGTTTCCTGCCATGGTCCTTGGCTCTCTACTGTAGGTGTTGGTCTTTGTATAGACTGTGTATGAAAGGTCATTTTGGGCTGTGGGTTTGGTTTGTGGGTTGACTGTACTACATCGGACATGGCTGGGTAAACAACTCCAGCTGCAGTTCAATGTGGCCTGTTATCTCAGTTGCTCGTAACGTCTATCACTGGTCTCACCAAGTGCTCAGTCCTACGGTGCTCTCTCTTGGAAATTGCTCGACCCAAAATAGCTAGATTAGTCCTCTTTGTGGTCGGCTTGGGACACAAAAGCAATAATCATTCAGAGTATTTTGGGGGATGAAACAGTATGAGTCAGATCAAAAGATGCCAGAGTAAGTGGTGCAATGTTAACTGTTTTGAAGGATTAAATTGGTCACAAGACAAAGCAGATGATATAAATATTGGGGTAAATACATTATATGGATGCGTACAATTTTTCCTTTGTCAAGAGGTGAACTGATTCATCATAATTTATTTTTGATATGCCTTTTTTTATCATTCGGTGTCTGCATGAAATGTGTGCAAATGGGATTGCGTGACACTGTTTCATTGTAGCATTTGGTTTAGTGGTTTTAGGATTTACAAATGCAAACTGATATGCGCAACTTAGATATTTAAAAGTAATGAGAACTGAAATTGTAGAGGGTCCTTATTCAATAAATAACATAGATTTGTACAGCAATTACTCAGGGAATAATATAGTTAGTCTTAATTTATCCTTCTTGGTACTGACTTGCAAAGCAATTCTTTGGCAAAAATCAAATCTATCTAATCATAAAGAATCATGCTCAGTGTTCATTATGAATCTGCATCACGGTTTGAATCTGCGCTTTACCTTTTTGTTTGCAAGCAGCTATTCAGTTTTTCAGCTGGGCAGCGAGCCGGTCTCACTGCAGCTTTGTCTGGGATTCTCAAGTCAAAGAACTTCATTTCACTGCACCATCATTGAAGCAACACTGTACACAACTTTAGGACAAGAGATGAGAGTGTGTCTAAGCACTCAAAAGTATAGATGTGTCTGTCAGGTTATACCCCTAACTGTTTAATTTGACTTTTTTTTTTTTTTTTTACATCAAATTTGTTTTTGTTAAGTTTGTTTCAATTGTCTTGATATGGTTGAACGGTTAAGTTTGTACGAGATACAATGTTCCTTCGCCCCCTCCCTAAATCCCCACCCATACACCGCATGCTTATTCCCCCTTGCTCTACAAAGATCAGAGGGTTTAAAATAAAGCCATGCGATGTCCCAATTTTTCCAAGCTTAAGAATCTGTAAAAATTCAGCACAAGGTCTTGTTCCTTTGTATGTATAAAAATAGATTTATCTCTAATGTAATCCTTTCAAAGAGATCGTCCTCTTTGGCTAACACAGCGTCATTTAGAAAAGCAAAAGCAAAAATGTCTTGAATATACTTGACCTTATTTCATCTATTATCATGTGCAAATGTCTTGATATTTCTGAGACATTAGCTCTCCCCACGGTAAATCTTAAGTCTGGTTTGTAACAGACATTTCGACTAGACAGGTTGTCCTTTTCATCAAGTGTGCCATAAATAATTTCCATGCAATTGGGTTGGGGATATTTTGAGAAATGCTATTTTTGTGGTAGTGCCAAACAGATCTGAAGCAAATAAATACCTTTCTGTTGTAAACATAGGTATAATTATGACACTTATTTGCAGGCTTGATGTTGTACAGTCATCTTTTGAGAGGGCAGAAGTTGTAAGTTTCTGGGAAGCTTTCAAGAGAATAGAGGGGTTTTAAATAAAACTGAGGAGCATTTGGCAAAGCTGGAGGAACTGGTAATCTTTTCTCCTCAAAGGATCAATGATAATTTTAACATTGCCAGATATCATCGCTCACATACGTGACTCTAAGACAATTTAAATGTTCAGTTATTTGGGACTGTAGTCCTCTTATCTGCTCTACGCATGTTGTTACTGTAGAGCTCATGTGTTCTACTGAATGGTAACTCAGACCTCATTTATTCTGGGAGCTTCTATGTGTTCACTAGACTAAAGAATAATACCGGTGCTCTTAAGTTTTTGCTCATCTGTGTTACTTCTCTACAGACCTGCCTAGACCATTTTTCAGTTCATGGGGTGTGTTGTTTAACAATGTATTCAGAGTTGCTTTTTGCAGCGACTTGGATTGTAATTATATTCAAGATATCCAATTCCCCAGTTCCATTTATCTAAATTAATCTGAAGACATAGCCTGTCCTGAGCACAGTAACATTAATCAAAGTATGTCAGCAAGAACGATGAATTCGTGTCTTTCACATCTTGTTTGCTTTTTTCTCTTGACCTTTTGACACCAGATGGCCTTTCAGTTAAAGGGATAACACACCAAATCATGGCTAACAAAGCCATACAAAGTAAAATGGCCTTAGTGTGTGTGTGTGTAATAAAATAAATTATGCAAAAAGTGAAAAAACACCGGTATTTTCCTTTGATGTGGCTGTGTTATGGTGAAACGGTTTTCAACTTGCACTCGTCACGCTCTCGCCCACCAGAGAATTATTAATGAACACTGTCACCATGGGAGCACTGCCACTCTGCTTTAAGTTCACAGACAGTCTGCTTGTGAGAAATTAGAAGACATACAGGAACTTTTTTTGTTTTCGTGGACTAAATATGTATATATCTTCTAGTTATTGAACTGTTTTTCTGTGATATATAAGTGTACTATTGTGTTGTTCGGTGTGAGACTGGGAAAGAGTGATTCTGATGGCCTTCGGACTACTCTTTTCTGTGACCGGTATTCATTGGTTAACCTAAATCTTATTGGGTCTGAACTGACAAGCTCATATAGGGTAGAGAATCTGCCTGTACTCTAGGCACCACCTAATGCAGGTCAGGAAACAGTAGTCAAAGTTTCTAGAAAATGCTTACATACTCGGCTATTATAACCACCTTAAATATTGAATATATAGTTATATTTTAATAGACGTATATAAGAGAACACTGTTTTTTAATTTCATTTTCTTTGATCTAAAAAAATCGCTGATTCAAAATGCCCAAGTGTAAAAAAGTGACTACATCCTCTCCAGCAAGATAATGGGAGAGATGGTGGGATAAGAGTTTGGGTAAATTGCACATATTCATTCATTTAAATTTTTGATCGTTTTGTTCATCAGTTGTCATTATTTGCCTGAATTCAATCAAAGCACTCAGTACACATTCTCTGTCACATTCGTTAGACTGTCTCCTAAATAGATAGCTCTTGCCCCTACCCAACAAACCACTACGTACCCCTTCTAATTCAATCCAGGCAAATATAGGGAAGGACTAGCATGTTGTGTAAAGAGAAAAGAAAAACTCCACTAGTGTGTTTGTTTGAAACTCTGACTTTTGTATGCTTGCGTATGGATATGTTTGGTTATGTGTGTGCGTGTTTGTGTGTATCTGCATGTCTGTGTTTGCAATAATATATTATGAATTTGTGTGAGAATGTGTCAGAGAGAGAGACTCAGTCCAGGCCCATGTAGAGTGATGGCACAGGGAGCTCAGGTTGCTCTCCCTGCAGGTTGAAGGAGCTGGTGCCAGCAGCCTCTCTTTCAGGCCTTGTGCTGCTTGCTGGTCTTGAAGGAAACCTGCAGCACGCGGTCACCCAGGCGGTAGCCATTAAGGCTAGCGATAGCCATGGCGGCTTCGTCGTAGTTGGTCATGGTGACAAAGCCAAAGCCCTTACATTTGTTGGTGGTGAAGTCACGGATGACCTTGACGTTGGTGACAGCACCGAAGGGACCGAAGAGCTGCCACAGGACGCTCTCGTCCGCCTCGGGGGACAGGTTGTATACAAAGATGCACCATCCGGCTCCAGTTGGACCAGTAAGGTTGACCCCGGCCAGGCTGGTCATGCTGTCAATGGTGATGGGGGAGAATCTGGGGAAGAGAGTAGGAGAACTACCATGGGTGTCATTCTGAAGTTCAACACAGTATTCAGTGCTCTATACTGTCTCTTAAGGGTATTTTTCTCTCTGAGAAATGATAATGATTGTAGTCGGGTATAGAGTCGGGGGACCCCATCTCCATCCCCTCTGCTGTACAGTAAGTAGATAAATATGTGTGGGCACCACAGTGGCTCCAAACTACCTGCTTTCATACAAAATGACACTGTGTGCCCTGAGACACAGACACCCACACAATGAGCATATTTCTCATTTTCTCTGCTGACCAAAGCCTCTGTAAGAATTAAACACATGAATCACAATGTTCAACAAAAATCACAGTATTGAACAAAACACAGAAACCTAGAGAGGGATGAAAAGCAAATTGGAATCAAATCATACACAAACTGGAGCAAACAGAGGAGACGCAAACGGAATCTGGTATGTCCATGCTGGTGAAAAAAAGGGGACATTAAAGCAACTGAAACTGACAATGTTAGTTCATAAATTAATACATATAAATTATTTCTATTAATTAAAACAAAAGAACGAAAAGGTTAAACAAAGCCATGCCAGAATACCCTGCTGTTAAAAGGCTGCATCATTGCTTATTGCAATTACAGATTGTTGTCTGGGCTGCTTCTGTAACATGGTTAAATGGGCAGTGGGTTGTAAGAATTATGGCCATTATATCTAATTTCGAGATGAAGTCAGCAGGTGGTATTCCAGGCACTTTGTTTGAGGTTTTATTTTGGCATGGATGCTTTTGAAAGTACACCATTTACCTCTTGACTCCGTAGCTGGCGTTTAGTAAATTGTCGAGTCTGCAACGCAAGAGGGAGAATGAAGGGGATGCAGAAGTTAGTTATGAGATCTACAAGGAAGGGGGGCTTTCAGTTAACAAGTTGCTCCTTCACCAGCTGGCCTCCAGAGGGCATCCTTCACTGCAACGCAGTCCCAAACCATCCAACCTCAAACTGATGGCTTGTAAAATGTGAATATGTGTCTCAGCTGGTATTTATTGTTAAATGTTGTTGTTTAAGCTCTAAAATAGACTCCCCTTTAATAGTTTAAATAGTAGATAAACAAATCCTGTATCCTAGGTCATTTCACATCTACTGATTAAAAAACCATAAGTGAGCATTCCAACCTGAGAGGGTATCTACAATTGTTTGTGAGATTTCATGAAAATATTTAATACTGGAAGCCTTTGACTTTTAAACATTTTGAACCTTCAAAACTACCCATGTAGATGTGGCCAACATCTATCAATTTCAATCTTTATGGTGCCTCCAATGACTATATAGTATAGGCAAAAACTAAAGGTTCAGTATTATTATTCTTAACCCAAGATTTATTTAGCTTTAGTTTTTTATTATATTTGGAAAAATCTGGTCTCTTACATTGGTTTTGAGCTGTTATTTGGATCTGGTCCCTTTCCAAGTGAAGGGATCATGCTGCAGTTTAAAAGAAAGTCAGAGAAAAAGAGTGAGAAGGAGGGACAATCCAGTATTGCCTATTCCTTCTGTACTATAAAGCAAATAATGTTGCTTAAAGGAACAGTTCACAAAAACGTTTTGTTAATATTGACAGAAAAGGTTTTCTTTACTTTTTTTTTTTTAATGAATGTTTTCTATTACACAATTTTACCTTATTATAAAACCAGACCACATTTGCTGTATTTGGGGTGTGCCACTTCATCTGATTTTTCTTGCATATTTACTCTTAGCTATGGGTGGTATATACTGGTGTAGTTGAAGCTTGATAATTGTCAAAAAAAACCTTTTATAGACTTGACTTTGACTGTTGACTCAGTAATGACTAGTAAAGTCTATATCATACTAAAACAATGAAATGTTACACTTAACACTTATCATTGTAAAATTGTGGGATATTAAGTTCGCTTAAGCAAGGCAACACAGCAGGATGACCTGTGATTTGGTCTTGAAACAGTAGCTTTTTACAGACTATCTTGTGATTAACTCACAGGTGGTGTGAGTTTGGTAACGGTTCAGTACCTGAAACGCTGAGTCTGGTGGTGTAGGGGCCCTGTGTAGCGGCGGGCAGCAGTCTGGTACAGCTGAGTCAGTAAGGCCTGGCCTGTCTTCTGGCTGGGGTTGTTGGCGAACTTGACAGTGATGGGCTCGGCGGCACCCAAAGGCTTCTGTCCGTTCAGACCTTTGATGGCCTCCTCTGCCTCGTTTCGCTTGTCAAACCGGATGAAACCCACTCCTCGTGATATGCCTGCTCCGATTAAGAAAACAAACCAATGTTACTACCTTGGCATCAAGGACTGTTGCTGCCTACCCGTCTTTCATAAAAAAAAAAAAAAAAATAGTACTTAAGTGACAGCATGAGAAGTGAAATAAGGCTATACCTGTAACTTGGTCCACTAGGATGCGGGATGTGATGATGCGACCATATTGGGAGAACAGCTGTTCCATGTCCTTCTGGCTCATGGTTTTGGGGAGTCCACTTACGTAAAGGTTGGCATCACGAATAGAAGCCGAGCTTGGCCGGGCATATGATACCTATAATACAAATGAAATAAAAAGTGCATTATATTCATATACCCCAAAATCACAAGGTGTCTCAGAAAAACAAACCCGTCAATTTAAGGAGCATGCTAGAAAGATCTAAAGTAACTGGACTGAGTGCCCAACAAGTTCCCAACACACACGTCTTCATTTTTACTCCTGCTCAAGGCACAATGAGACTGTCACAGACACACTATGATGACTGTAACCATTACCCAAACTGATAACAGTTAACAAGCCCAAGTGTCAGCTTTGTTTTTCATTGCAAAACACTGGCCTTAGTTAACGTATTTTCCTGAATTCACTGGTGACTTAATTAGTGCACAGCCATTTTTGGTGCGTCTGTGTTTATATCCCTTATGGTTTTCTGTTGGTCTACTTTTCAGAACATTTTACATCTAGTACTGCTGAGAAATATCTGATTGATTGTAAAAAAAAAAAAAAAATATTTTTTTTTTAAAGTCCTTAACATATTCTTGTTTTTGTGTTTATGGGAGCACGTGAACACATGTGTGACAGATAATCCAGTTCAGTGCATTGTTGGCAGTGCTGTGTTTGTGTGTGATGGAGAGACAGAGTGAGTGTTGTCTGAGATAGGCTGAGCTGCCCTCCCTGTCCTGCCTCCTTCCTTTGTTTCTATCCTCTAAGGGAGAAAAGCTCCACTGGAAAACAGCAAACAATGTAAGTGCATCACAAGACTTGCAGGACTTAAAAACACACTGTTTGAACATGCACATTGTTTGTTTGCATTTGTGTGATAAATATAAATGTTCACAAAATGTAGAAATATTTGTTGAATTAACATTGATTTCACTTATTGCATAGACGTAAAGAAAGCTGTGATGAAAATTAGAAGGACTTATCCTTAACGTATATTATCTGTCAAATGAATACAGGTGTTCTGATTTCATCCATCAGTACTAAGCACCAGTGTCTATTGTGTACACAGACAGACTATGAGCAGGAGCAGGGTTGTGTGGTGCAGTGATTAGGGTGTTCTGGACGAGTCAGGGGGGAGTTGCTGTGTTCGGGGAGCAGAGGCTGCCCTATAATTAACCCTCTCCCTGTCGCTCCCACAGTACAGATGGTGCCTGAAGCCCATATGGCCTCTAATCCTGTCATTGGCATTCTGCTCTCTGAGCTACCCCCTACCCTTCTACTGCTGCCCCCTCCCTCCCCTCACCACCTCACCCCTCTCTATTGAAGCCTCCTGCAAAACCATGGTACCATAAAACTATGGTATTGACCAGAGGAGTTATTTCTTAAATTTGAGATTGAATTCTTAAAAAGTTAATTATAGACAGAGTGACCTATGTCCAATACATCAAATAATGAATAAATGTCAGCATAAGATCGACAATATAACATAACACTTTTTCAACATGGTTATAACAAGTAATTTCTCTTGTTCAATCTCATGCCGACTGTATGATGTTATACAAATGAACAAAAAAAAAGAACCAAATCCAATACTCAACTTTTCCTGCTTGTAGTTTGTTTGATCAGTCATTAGTCAGAATTAACGTCCCTATTCATGGACAGCTGTTGAAAGATCACCTGCTCTGCTCTCTCACAGATTTGATTTCTCAATCCTACAGTTTGTCTCAATCTTTGATCTACTTTGATCAGGTTGGGGGGATGGAAGGAAGTAGTGTTTAATAATATGCCCCCTCTTTCCCTCATCTGATTTTGGGACAAAGAAGCCCCCTAATTAGCCTAGATTGGAGGCAGATGGGGTAACCTGGACTGACCCTTGTGCACCACAGTCAGGCTTCCTAATTACATTTCCATCACAATAACCTCTGCATGCTGTCCGCCCCTTGCTTTCTGACCTCCACTCGCCTTCTCTTTTCACCCTTTCTCTCACTCTCTTTGTTCTAGCCACCGCTCCCTTCTGCCTCCTCCTCCCCATTTTCCTCCCCTCCCTCTGTCACGTCTGCCGCTACCTCTCTCAGCAACCCCCCCCTTGACAAAATCTCCACTTCCTTTCTTTTTGTCTAGCAAGTCGTCAAGAATGAAAAAATGAAGAGTGAATATTGTAGAGTAGTGGTCTGCTCACCTTGATTGTTTTAGTCTGCAGTTTGAGACCATTGAGTGTGTTGATGGCCTTATCTGCATCATTTGGATCCACATAGTTTACAAAGCCATATCCCAAACTCTGACCTGGAGACAAAGAAAGACCCATAGTGGTGTCAGTGATTCTCAAACACAGTTGTAGTGATAATGTTTTTTTAAACATGGACATAGTGTTGTACCTGTTATTTTATCCCTGACTAGCTTGCAGGACTCGATCTCTCCAATGCTACCAAACAAACTTTTGAACTCTTCCTGGGTCATGTTCTGAGGCAGATAGTTGACGATCAGATTGGTTTTGCTGTCGTCTGTGGAGCCGTTAGTACTAATGACTGGACCGTTAGGCAGACTGGTTCCGCTTGGACCGTTGGACACCTGGGTTTCCATGGTGCTGATTATCTGCTGAGGAAGAGGGTGGAGTTAGATTCATAATTCACAAAGAGACACAATAGGACACAGTGGTAATATGGCTGTATAAATGTACATGTGCTACTATTTAAGATATAATACATGAACAAATATACTATACACACAGCCACACACACAGACTGTCCACTTTGTTACTGTCAGAGGGAAAGGTTGGGGATCAGCATTGCTAAAATGGAGATGGATACAAGGTCTGATTTATCATCTACCCTCCCCCTCTTTCACCCCATCTTTCCTCCTCTCTCGCTCCCTGCCTCTGGTCCTGCAGATGTCACAGTCCTTTTTCCTTATTCCTCCCCTCCCCCCACTCTCTTCCAGGGTCAAACACCATTACATCATTACACAGGGATGGATAATAGTGATGGTCGTGTGTGAGGCTGGGGGAGTTAAGAGTGGCAGGGATTGAGATGAGGGACAAAAGGGAGAGCGACAATGTTAAATGGATTGTGTGCTACAATAAATGAGGAATATCACGGTTTGGTAGAAAAATAAGTCAGGATTACACTGACTTTGTTAAGGTTTCTTTGTGGTAAACTGACATTTATTTTGTTAAGTGGAGTAAGGGTGTGGGTTAGTGCACAGTATAGTGTTTGTGTCTCCTGTGTTTCTCTGGAGTACACCGTGTTGCTTAATTTAATCCACAGGGGATTCTCAAGGAACATCTGTGTGGTCAGAGAAACAAAACTTCCTGCTCTACTTTCCCTTTCCCTTTCCTCACACTAGCTCTCTGTCTCGGGATCATTATTTCCAATGTAAACCTACATGGAAAATCACTGGAAACTATTTTAGTTTATTTGTTTTGGTGTGTGATAGTGATATTATGTAGCTGCACTGATTTGTTAAGCTGTTCAAATTAGAAAAAATATCAAATATACTAGGGGTATACTGCAAATGTGCAACAGTTTCAGGCTTACTATTAACTGTTTTAGATTTACATCCTATTTTATGATGCACATATTTAATATGACATGCATTTTGTTTTATTTATATCTGTGATATTTGTATGTTCAAACATCATTAGATTAAATATTAGATTTTATGCACTTGTCAAAGTGGATAAGTAACATATGTTTAGGCTTAGGTTCTCCTTGTTGACTCATGCTACTAAAATTAGCCTCTATAAGATTACCATGTATGTGCATTTTCAGTGCTGTTAGCAGTAGACAATTTGAAGTCTATTATTTTTACAAACAAAAGTCTAAAATTGTTTGGATAAACAGTTTGAATGCATATACAGTGTGTTAGTAGGGCCAAAATACAAATTGTTATGTCCGATTGTAGGTTTAAGCTGCTCCAGCTCTCTAACTCATGGATGTAATGTCAGTAAGGCTAAATGAGTCTTCTCTAAAGCTCTTGGGGTCTTACAATGTGGTCCAAAGCAACAAAAGGACTTAATTAATGAACCTTCAGAATTATTTCAAAAATGTCTTAATGAAATTTCCTGACTTGGTGGAGAAGTACTAAAGGCGTCACTGAAGCATATACATTTATAACAGAAATATTTACCTGGCAATTAATCCTATAGCTTTTTGGTGAATGTGCACTTATAAATCATAACCAATTAATTAATTAATTTTAATTCTGAAAAAGGGGTATTTAAAGGAGTATTTTATATAGTATTGCATTATATATATATATATATAGGATTTTGCTTTATTTGTAACATGAGAATGATAACAGAGAGAATGATGGTTGACTAAGATGAGCTGCTTCTGTCAGGTTGTTAATTATATAGATTTCATTCACTGCTCATGTAAATCCACCAACTTTTTGTATTTGTACATGCTGTCTTTCTGTGTTATCATCACGTTCTCTCTCCTTTTCTAGTGTCTGCGAATGGGTCTGTCTAACCTGCCTTTCTCCCTCGTCTCTGTAACCTGCTCTCTTCCTTTGAGCCTCACCTCCACTCAGGTTGCCCAGGTAACAGCCCCTCAAAGACTGCATTGTTTCTAATGGCTGAATGGCTTTCTTACTTTAAGCTTAGTGTGTGTTTGTGTCTGTGCTTATTAGGAGCACATACACAGGTCAGACATTTTTCCTCCATGTTTGCAGAAGCAGGGAATATCAGTAAGTGAAATTGGTAATGACAAGCGGAAAAGGAGCACAGTGACAGAGTTAAGACAGCTTAAATATAAAATACTTCAGACGCATCTACGCACAAAGGCAGTGCAACGTAGATAGCAATCACGTCAAGATTTTGATGCACAGCTAAAATGCCTGCTAAGCTATCTTTTTCATGTCGTTATGAATTATGATACGATTAACACACATGTTGACAAAAATGGTTTGAATCAAGCTGTTACGTTGTATTTATTGTAATATGAACCTAGTACATTGTTGTGTGATGTGTGGCATCTGAGTAACGGAAATATAAGCCACTGAACGTGTCCCAAATATGACAAAAGCATTTTGAAAGAAAAACATATTAGGGCAAATTTGACTCGCCAACTGAAATAACCCTCAGCATGGCAGAACACACATCCCCAGTGAACAGTGTGAAGTTATATAATTCACAGACCCACTGAGTATGGGCTGGGCACTGAGATTGGCTGACACAAGCAGCAACTAAGATTAAGATTTTCACACAGAAACAGAGGGGAACAGCATGCTTTGAAGTTTTTTGAAACAAATAGAAAAGATAAACACCACAGAGGACTGTTTTATCTTTAGGCTGTCATTTCATATTGTATATCAACAACAAAAATCAAATAGTCTTGAGTTTGGTTTGCAGTAACCCAATTACTATGACACGAAGAGACAATAAATCATTGTGATGCTGCAGGAAGGCCTACAGTGGCATTAATAATTGCAATACGCTGAGTATAGAACTACTCCAGCTATGCTATCCAGACATTTTCGATTGCTGGAGACAATAAAAACGCTCACTCCAGGGGTACCTTGTAACCATGACGTCCTAGGTGTAAATATGGCCTAGCTCCTTTGTTGTGTATCGTGATTCCTCTGATATTTTGGGTAAACTATCTAATAAGGATGGAAACATGCCATAAAAACAATCTTTTAAAAATTTCAAAATTTCTCAAAGATTCCAGTTGTTAGAGTAGCACAATGTATCCCACACTGCTTATTTCTATTTGGGGGTTCTGTGAGATCTCCCTTAATATTTAATGTACTGCATCAGCATCGCCCACACATGGTCCCAGACTTGCACGCAAACAAGAGCCCTGCCTCCTCTGCCAAACACATGAACCCAGACTTGCACGCAAACAAGAGCCCTGCCTCCACTGCCAAGCACACATACCACCTACACTGTACACAATTAAATTACAAAACACAGAAGCATTACATGACTAAATGTAAATGTAGTCTTAGTTCTCTGTCTTCTGATGCCTATAAACAGCTTTCCCCAATTTATTTCTGCTCCAAATGCAGCACAGCACCGGAGGCTATAATATACAGAAGAATAATTGTTTCTCATTTCGAGTCATAACATGGGATTTTCCACATTATATGTTACAATGCATTAAAAATCACCAGAAATTCACTGAGATATAACAAGAGAGAAAATAACATTGTCACTATTAGCATTTTGTCTTGGCATGCAGTCCAGCAAAGTGTTAATTTTAGGCTTACTATAGATTTAAATTCACCTGCTGTATGCCTGTAACATATGTATTTTAATTGTCTTTGTGCAGACAAAACTTAAGAAATCCACCAGGATATTAACAATTATAACAATCTTGATAACAGTGATTGCTCCTTTTAATATATAACCTTGTCTCTAGTCTACATTATATTACCTTATATAAAGATTGTTTTTTCTGGAAGGCATGAATCAAAAGTGAATGCTAGGCTGAAGTGTAAATGAGCCTTCTAAATAACACAGATTACAGGATTATCCCAGACAAAGGGCATTAGCCACACTCTCTGCAGTTTAAGGGATCATGGTGGCAGCTGTAAAACAACAGGACGACAGGAGTCACAGCTCATGTCAGCCATGCACTAAGGCTCAATACTGTTCTCCGCTCCGCAGACCAAGAATAAAAGATTTCTAAAAGATTTCAGCTCTCTGAGTATGTGCTGCTTTGATAAGATGGGAGCAGACAACGTCAAAGGCTCGGGGAGACAAATCTGTCCTGCAAGTCCTTGTAGCATGCGGGGCGCTATCCAGCGTGCTGAAAAAGGGAGTGGCTTTCGAACTGTCTCATTTGAGGCCACAGAGGCCCGTAAATACACCAAAGACCACCGAGTCGTTTTATTTTACATTTTGTTGACTTTGAAAACGTTTTCCTTCGAGTAATTAAGAAAGAAATCACGTAAACGGCTTTTTAAATATGGTAGATGCATAACAGAATCCCTCGATTTCTACGTTTCCCTTATTTAGCCTCCTTTTTTTTTTTTTAAAGGCAACACTTGTGAGCTCTGCAGGCATTCATGAACCGGAGCGCCTTTTTGCTGAATAAACGTATTGAAACGACCAAACAAAAGAGCCACCCGTTCCTCCTCTTCTCCCTCGCAGAGGCTATGGCAGCACTATGAATATTAATGTAAACAGTGGCGCTTTGTGTCGTGGCCAGGGGCTGCAGGACTCTCCGGGAACAATGACTGTTACAGTTGCCAGCTACAAGTCAAAAATGCCACCATAGGTCAAATAAAAAAATCACCAATCCGAGATATTTATTTGCCCATTTTGGATCGTTTCCCCTAACAGAATTTATAGGCTTGTATGTAGTTATAGTAATTACAAAGCTTGGTAAACTGGCTTTAGCTCAGCGAGCACTGGCGTATGGGAGAAAGAATGGCCACTATTATAAATATAAATAAATACTGCTAAAGGAAATAATGTTTTATGATCTTCATAAAAATCAGCAATCCATATTAAAGCTAGTTTAATTCACCGTGTACAATAAAATTATATTATGAATATTTGTTGCTTAAAAACATGATTGTAAAAAGAGAGATGTAAAAGTCTCTCTACCTCTTTCTTCCCAACAGGCTTTATATTTGTTGCTGATAATTACATGAAGTCATTGGCAACAGGGGGCAAATCACCGCTTACATAACATAATTGCATTTAACGTCTCATACAAGTTAGACGTGTCATATAAGTTAGAACTGTAAAAAATATAACACAACGTGAAGCCTTATAATCGTTGTATTTCGAACTGAGACTAAACATGGCCTCTAACCTTTTAATCATCACCCCAAAAGATTTATATTTAATTCTGTATTGACTGTATTGGCATTTTTAACTTAACACCAAGAAAGCGTTTAGACTGGTTTACAGTGAGGGCCTGGGCTGCCCTTGTCCTTGAATTGTGTAAGTGCTTTGGATAGGTTATCTGACTCAACGCTTTTATTTGCTTGGCACTGCGGTACAGGCATGGAGGACTGCGGACCATGTGGAGGGGAACTACAGCCTCTGTGTGATTCTGTCTAGGCCTGTCAGGGACAATAGGTAATATACAACAAAGAGAAACTAAAATTAGGATTGGAAATGTGTCAAGTGGACAGTTCGAGTCTCACAGATGATAAAACAACGTGCTGCCCACCTCCATTTTGCATAATTTTCCGAAGCAATATTCTGACCATTTCAAATTCAGTGACTTGAGATCCTAAAGTTATCGAGGACCAATTCCGTCTCCCACATCCTGTTCCTTTTCTTAAATCATTTATTTTGCGTTTCTACTATTATAGTCATAGGCTGAGCAGCCTGATGTTTTATCAAGTGTAGATATAATTTGAATTCTAATCAGTTATTAAAAAAATATATTATATATTACATAGGCTATAAATATATATAACTATATCCGTTTAATAATCAGGGTTTTTAACACCTGCATGTGTTTTACGGCTGGACCGAGCAGCATCCTTCTGCTGCTGATGGTTGGTTTCTTATTTATTTCATGGCTTCTATAATTTCATGTTAATGTGTCTGGTCTTAATTGGTCTGCTTAGATAAACTGCCTGTTGTCAACCGTAGGGCACGTCAAGAGGTAAAGCGGAGTAGGCCTTTTTGAGGCTTCAAGGCCCTCTTTGGTGCTTCAGTCCAAAAGAGACACGCCCAATCCGGCCGTCGGCTCAGAGCTAAGCTAATTTATCACCGCTTACATCTCCTTTTATCCGACAAGCGCAACGCAAGCATGGCCATCTTGTACGTATGTGATGTGATGCCTGGAGAAAATGCTCTTAAAATGGAGATGTCCGTGCGTGTCCTTACTGTCGCGGCCTCTGAGATTTCCAGCCCATTTACTCGGTTGCATCGCAACGAGAACCCTGAGGAATTTGGACTTTGTCTGATTCAATGCAAACCGATGGATGCGTAATTTCCCTCCTCCCCCTCCCCCTCCCGGAGTGACTCGACCCTTTTTTCCTTTGCCTTGCTGGATGGGCCCTCAGCCTCCGAGGCATCATGTTTTGTCTCGGAAAGCCGTCTCCAGCATCCTTGTGCTGCACCAGGCAAAGAAAGCAAGTACTCCCCCCACTCAACCGAGCGCCTCATCGCCTTTCTTCCTCTCCATCACTGTAATCCTGCGGAATTCCTAAATCTTGACTCCTGCATCATTTTGGAAATATAATCAAAGCTGCGGCATTCAGACAGCCGGAGTTGCTGTGATACATAAACGTAAAGGCTGTGCTATCTAAAATGGCAGGATAAAGACTTTATCCATCGCCGATGATGACTGCAGGAAGGAGCGCAGCCGGCATGGCGCATCACTCAGTATGAGATTGCTAATTGCCACTATCGATCGTTAATCTTATTATAATAATATGGCATTGCACACTGAACAAAAACATAGGACACTAATCCCAAAGCTCCCCTGTGTTTTGGCATGTGGGCAAAGCCATAGAGCGTTGTTTAAATTATATCACTCTCCACAAAAGATATATCTTAAGATGTGAAAATAAATCTGTGTGTGGCTTCAACACATGTGTACATGTAGTGCATAACAAATCAAACAAATCATAAAGGGACTGAGATACAATGCTGCTACAACATCCCCTTCACAAATATAAGAAAAATAGAGTCATACGTACAGTAACCATTCTTGACGTACAATGAAAGAAATCTAGGTCCTTCTTTGCACTGGTCTTGAAGCTGAAGCTGAGTTTCTGTATGCTCTTCGGCCTTTATATTATATGGCCCTTATGTTCTGTCAGGAGTCCAAATTAAAAGAAAAAAAAAGAAAAAAAGGAAAAAAAATACAATCTTCGCCAGGGAATCTCAGCCCTCTGAGATTGTAGGTGTCCTCTATAGGATGAAAATGAGGAGAAAGGGGTTTTCTACTGGATGATGATGAGGGAGAGCGTTCTCTCCGAGTGGCGTGGGCGATGGTTCAGAAAAAAAGAGAAGCAGTGATCCTCAGCAGGGTGTGTCCAGGGGAGGGTGTTCTGGTTCTGCTGTTTTTATGTGTAATTCCCTGCTCCTCTCGCAGTCTCCTTCTGTGCCTCTGCTGCAATGTTCTTCTTTTATGCGTCCTCCTGGCTGGCAGAGCGCGCTGCTGATTGGCTAATTGTGCAGGGAGGGTACTACATGGCAGCCATTGCAATGCGCTCCTCTCCCATTATCCCCTTCAGGAGAGATCACCAAGAGTCCCCCCCCTCACCCTCCCTCCCTCCCTCCCTCTTCCATCCCTGCCCTTCCATCTCTCCACTCCCTTTTTCTAGCTGCCCTTCCTTTCTTCCTGCCCCCCTCTTCACACACACGCAGAGCGGAGTGAATAGGGCTCCACCTGCACTTTCAGAACAGATGGGTGCAGCAGAAGACAGCAGACTTGTCTCTCTCATTCCCTACACTTTGCACTCACTTCTCCCTCAGCACAGCCCCTTCCTTTCTCTCTTATTCTCCATTTAGGCCTGTTTGAAACCATAGAAAACAACTTCACTCCTTAGGCCTTTGTCTTTGCAAATAAAAGCAGTTTTGAATGTAAATCGGCAGACTTTTGTGAGTCTACATTCTCAGCTGATAATCACAGAATTATAGCAGTGGGGGAAAAGACACAAATATACAATAATTGGGTGTGAATTGTGGATAGAAACAAAGCATTAAATTCATAATACGACTAATGAGTGAATGATTTCAGGACCTCTCATATGCAAGGCAGATGGCTAGCTATAGGGTCAGGTGCAGACACGAGAATAACAAATTAGATGGCCTCTGAATAAATTCATGTCTTTTTAGTGAAAAGTTGAGAAAGGTGCGGTTGTAGCTCAGATCTGTCTGTGCTGAATGATCTCTTTACTTTGCTTTATGAACAGAAGTGTGGCCAGCAGTGATTTTTGACTTACTTTACAACATCCCAATATCCCCTTCCTGAGGAGTTCTCATCCCTTTCTGCCCACCTCCTGCTGCTCCCTCCTGTGTCTAGCTGTGTGGTGAGTGCTCACTGAGACATGCTGTTTGGGCTCATCTATAATGCATCCCCTGCCCCGGGACATCATGTGTGACAAATGACCTATTTCTGTGCAGACCCCC